GCAGACTGGTGCAACCACTGTGGAAATCAGTGTGGAGATACCTCAAAGAACTAGGGCTGGAGGTCCCATTTGACCCAGCTATTCCCCTGCTGGGTATTTTCCCAAAAGAATTAAAAGAATCATACCACAGCGATATATGTGCATCCATGTTTTTTGTGGCACAGTTCGTAATAGCTAAAGCTTGGATACAGCTCAAGTGCCCATCAACTGGAAACTGGATAAAGAAGATGTGTTTTTTATTTTTTTATAAAATGGAGTACTACTCAGCCATAAAGAACGAGAAACTAGAGTCATGTATAACTAAATGGATGCATATTGAGGCAATACTGGTTAAGTGAAATAAATAAGACACACATGTGTAAATACCGAATAGTTTCTGTGGTGTGAGAAACTGAGAGTGTAAATAAGGATTAAAAGGATTAATAACTAATAATTGATACTTTGAAATAGGAAAAGGTCCAAAGGTGTAGGGGTGGTGGGAGGAGATGGGGAAAGGAAAAATTATGAGAAAAGAAAAAAAAATGGAAATGAAGTATGTAAATAGGGAAGGGTGGAGGGGTCAAGGGAGCACAGGTAATGGGGAAAAAATAAGAACCAAGATACATTATGTACAGGTACAAGCATCCAATGATAAATGTAAACGTATTGTATACCTAAAATGTACCAATAAAAGAATTTAAGGAAAAAAAATAAGAATTATGACAAAACATTCCAAACCCTAGATCTGAAAAGAGAGTCAGAGATACTTTGCTTGGCACATTTCCCCACCAAATATTGAGAAATCTACCATTAGATTACTAACTGTGTGTGGTAGAAGAAAAGAAGGTACAGTGCTCCAACCTCTCAACTGGGACAAAAAGGCTCTGAATAGGTCACCATCTTCATTTCTGGATAAATCTCTTATTTACGAATTTTCTAATGCTTAAAATGGTGGTCTTTTCAGCTACCTATCCTAAGAAGTCAAGTACAAGCATGCAAGTGAATTCACAGGCACAGAGGATCCATGTTAAAAACAGTTAAGGTAGCTGTGATGCCAACAACTTGAATGGCCCTGTCACACTCAAAATATTATCTTAATTATTCAACAAAATCCTGAAGCAAACTCTTGCTAGTCTTGTTACACTGCTGAACACTAAAGTAGCATGTTTTTTCCATGGTTTTATCTTTGCTCAAAGAATTTTTACACTATTAAGACAAAAATTAAAAGTATTTCCCCTTTTAAAATTTACAGGTGTTTAATTAGCTTTATTTACAGAGCAGGGATTTTTTTTTTTTCAGTCTCCAATGGTTGCCTAGATAACACCATTAGGCCAGAATGCCAGTATAAAAGAAATCCATGCAGAATCCTAAAAAATAACATGTTGATGCTCCTGGAGAAGAGGCAAGCTTGGCTATCAGCTGCTCTTTCTAGGCCTCAGTTACTTAGAAGCAATTCTGTTGCAGTCTACATCCCATGATTTTGAAGACAAGGCCACTATTACTGCATTCCTATCAAAGCCCATAGCACATAGGTTTTCTTTTCTTCCTTTTTTTTTCTTTTTTTGGGGGTATATTCTGGACTCGAAACTGGTGCTCCAGCATACACGTGTGCCCAAAGTCGAGCTGTCTGTTAGAACAATTCAGGATTTTGTTTGTACTGATTTGCTACTACTGCATCCTGTGGATCATCCGGTTCTGCAGCTGCCAACAGTGCTTGCAATGACAATAACACTGTGTGGAGACTCATTGCTGCTGCCCTTTGATCTTTCAGGATATCCAAACAAATAGCCCCTGTGACAGAACTAACATTAGGATGCCAGATTTTAGTGATAAACCGGACCTTAGGGGGTTTAAATGGATACGTTTCTGATACTTTGATCTCTAGTTGATATCTTCCTCCTTCATATGGTGTGTCTGGAGGTCCTGCTATTTCTCCTCTTAATTCTGTAAAATTCTCATCAACAAGATCTACTTTAATTTGATTTTTGCTCGTCTCCTCGCTCTTCAGCACTTCCTTGAATGGCTGCCTGATTCGCTGCACTGCGATGTTGGCCATGTCTCTGCCCAACCCTGATTGATTCTGGCCTCCTCCACCACAGGTTAGGACCACCGCCCTCCGCCACCTCGCTTGCTCGCATTCGCTGCTGCTACTGCCGCCCCTGCGCTCTCCTCAGTGTCCTTTATTTAAGCAATATCCTTTATTGTAACTATTAACATGACTAATGACTGGGTGACTATCATTGCCCCAAATAAACAGAATGTATATAGAAAGTATGTGGGTCCTGGACTCAGTAAAGCATGAGTGTGAACCCCAGCTGTGCTGATTACCATCTTGTGGCCTTGGATGAGTCACCAGCATTTCTCAGCCCGTGTGTCCCAGAAGAGGATAAGATAGGGTATAGCTGATGTGAAGGAAATTGTCATGCTTAGCGTCAGCTTTCATTCCCTTTTATCTCAGGGCTACCAAAAGTCCAGACTTTTTAATTTAGTAGCCCTTAAATTCCTCTGTATACATTTCTGTTTTTATACAACTTGGTTGAGATGTGAACATCTCACCTTCTATAGCTCGTCTCTTCTGTATGTTCAGACACGAGAAATGAAACTCAACTTCTTTTTCCCTAAAATGTTCAACCACCGCCACCCATGTATGTAACACATTTTTTTTTTGGTACCGGGGATCGAACTGGCGTCCTTGCTCTTGTGAGGCAGGTGACCGAACCACTGAGCTAAATCCCCTGCCCCCATGTAACACTTTTGAGGATGCCTTCAGTACATATGTCTGTATGTTTATAACTTACATACATGTACTCTTACACTGTTATACTTTATGTATTAAAAACATTTAATTTTAATTAAAGGGATAAGATAAATAAAAATTCAGATTTTTAAAAATTGCAAAATATTATGGAACTTACTATGTAGAGGTGAAGCCATAGAAGATCCATTCAATTTATTAATCATTCAAATTGAGACATAATGAGACATAATGAACATGCAGTTACTTAAAACATGGTAATTTGAACATAAGCATTTATCCTCCCCCCACCTTGATATTCCATTAAAGCAATGTTAAAAATGGAAAAAGCTGGGGCCGGGGATTTAGCTCAGTGGTTCCATTGCCTGCCTTGAAAGCACAAGGACCCGAGTTCGATCCCTGACACCAAAAAAAAAAGCTGGAAAAAGCTGGAAGAAAACAACAGTGAACAAGACATAACATATCTTAGAAGGTGGGAAGCAGCTGACATGGATTGAAGAAAACTTAGTGCCCAAAGAGAGAACAGCTCTGGAGACACAGGGGAGGCAGCCAGGATGCAGAAAGGCAGGGGGCAGTGTGAAGATGAAAACAGAATTGGATGATGTCCCAGGTCTGTCAGATTTCTTGGTTCTCTGTCCCATCCTGGTCAGAATGGATGGTTCACTCCTTAGAGAAACATCCCAGAGAGAGCCTGGACTTAGGGCATCAAGCACAGGTAAGGCGAGGAGCTGCACTGAAAATACAAGCACTACTGAAGTGACAGCCTCTCTGCTGAGCAGTGAGCCCCGGGCCCTCTCCCTGCATGGCTTCCTGAACAGAGAGAGTGACACAGCCTGCTTCCCCTGCACAGAGGGTCGTCAGCAAGTCTTGGTGGAGATCACTTGACATTTGAGGAGGATCTCCACCCCAGCAAAGATAGGGACAAGAAAACAGGTGGGAAAGAAAGGTTTTTTTGGTACTGGGATCAAACTCAGGACTTGCACTTGCCAGACATGTTTGGCATCACTGAGCCACATCCCTGACCCAGAAAAAGGAATTTTTAAAACAGACAGTGAATAGCACACTGTAGTGCCAGGAGTGGTCACTATAGTGCTGCACCTGTAATCCTGGCACTCTGGGAGGCTGAGGCAGGAGGATCTAAAGTTCAAGCTCGGCCTGGGCAACTTAGCAACTCAGTGAGACCCTGTCTCAAAATAAAAAATAAAAAAGGATGGGAATGTAGCTCAGTGTAATGCTCCTCGGCTGAATCCCCAGTACAAAAACAAAAAAAAGACAGATACATGTCTTTTTCACAACAATAAAATAGTGAACATTTATTCCATATTTTCCATGTGCCAGGTTCTGTCATAAGCACTTTCACCCATTACGTCTTTTGTGGTTGTTGTTTGTCTGTCTGTGTTGGTGGGGATCAAACCCAGGGTCTTGTTCGTGCCTTGTAGTCCTCGAATAACAAAGTGAGGAAAGCACTCTGTTAGCCTGGGTTTAACACACGAGGGACTAGAGAATTACACATGAGGCAATTTCAACCCAGTCTGTCAAGATGCACACTCAACATTTTTAGCCAGTCTCCAGATGCCATTAGACTTCCTGGAAACGGTGAGGCTGCAGCCTTGGTTGGAATGCTCAGTGGCCTGAAGCCAGCTGTCTCATGGTGTATGTGTGGGAGGAACTTAACTTAACCTAAGTATAATATTCAATTTCATTGTAGTTTTGAGATCCACGTTTCTCATTAGTACCTGAACTTTTGTTTTTACGGTTTTCATTTTTGTTTGTTTTGTGTTGAGACAAGGTAGCTCAGGCTGGCCTCAAAGTCGCAGTGATTCTCGTGCTTCAGCCTCCTGAGTGCTGGGATTATAGGCATGCCCCACTATCTTTTTTTTCATAGTTGAACAAGAGGCATGATTTTATTCTTCTGTAAAAATTATCTTCTAAAACATAATCTCTTATTAAATATTTGCTTAATGAATGCCAGAATGAATAATGAATATGCTTCCATAAAATCCTGTATTTCTTAAGTATTTTATAATTGACAGGTCATATTTTTACATTTCATTCATTTTTCTAAAATAATACAGATAAAATGCAAAAAACCTCTCAAATATCTGCAAAAATATCCCTGTACAGAGACAATAAAACTGCAGCACCACTGTGCTGTGGGTTAGGCTGTTTGTCTGAGGCATTGGAAGAAGGTTGCTGTAGAGGAAGTGCAGGTTGCTCTAGAGGGGGGCACATGCAGGGGGAAAGGGGTGACTGGACTGTGCACCAAAGGGAGAGTCAACAAGGTCTAATGTACAAAACTGTAAGCACTTACCGAATCTCAACATGTCTTACTGAGGAATATCAAAGGCAGTTTCAGAAGGTACTGGCCAGTTGGAAAATAAATGTGCTGTAGTAGGTACAGTCACATTTGCTTTCAGCTACAGACTGTTAGCAGTCAGCTGGCTGCGAATACTGTGAGGACAGCCATGGAGGGACAGGTGGAATAAGTAGTGAGTGCTTTGGAAGAGGGCTGGTGCACTCAGCAGCAGGTGTAGGTGGTGGAAGTTGGTGGCTGTGGAGAAGAGGTCCTTTGCCCACCATTCCAACTTCCTCTTCCTTTCTGAGTAGTAAAAGGAACCCAGGAGGCTGGGGGTGTAGCTCAGTGATGGAGAATTTGGCTAGCATGCATGAGGACCTGGGTTCAGTCACCACCACCAAAAGAAAACGAAAAGAAAACCCAAAGGAACATAGGCCTAGGCCTGGGTCCTAATGAGTGATTCTGGTCATCTAACCTTTCTCAGCTTTGCTTCATTCATCATAAGTTGGTTTTACCGATGAACAGTATGGTTATGAGTGCCCTGAAGAAAGAGTAAATGTGAAAACTTTTGCAGACTATAAAGTGCAAGAGAAATGTCTCACTTTCCTCAACCTTGTTCTACTGATTGGCAGTATTAAGGATCGAACCCAGGGCCTTCTCACTGAGCTACATTCTCAGCCTTTTCACAAATTTTATATTGGGATACAGATTCTCCCTAAGTCACTATGCTCCCAGGCTGAGCATGAGCTTTCAAACCTCCTGCCTCAGTCTCCCAGAGGGCTGGGATTACCAGCCTGCACCACCACATTTGAGAAGGCATTTTTTTTTGAATGAATAAATTTCTGGGGGAGAACAGAGGAAGGTAAATACTTGATCACTAACATGAAGACCTTTGCAGGGATTTGTGCCCAAGAAGAGCAGGACTCACCTTGGAAAGCAGAAGCAGAGAATGGAGCTGGAGCTGGACAAGCTGGAAGGGCCGAGGAGGCTATCTGGGAGGGGAAGAAGGCGGAGCACCAAGGGCCACCACCATGTCCTGGCACTGGGGGTGAGGGTGGGCAGAGACTCACTCTCTGCCTTCTCTGAGGAGAAGGCTGAAGCCCAATGGCAGTTAAATGGTCTATGTGCCCAGGAGTTCTCAGGCCTGTCATGGTGTCACAGGCCTGCCATCCCAACACTCAAATACTAGGGCGGGAAGATCGCAAGTTCAAGCCCAGCCTGTACAAGTTAGGGACCTAAAAAGGACCTATCGCAAAATCAAAAGGACTGGGGATGTGGGGATGTAGCTCAATGTGAAGAACCTGGATTCAGTCCTTAGCACTGGAAAAAAAATAGAGTTCCCTGGGTCCTGAGGGAGGGAGAAGATTTGTCCTTTCCCACTGCTGCATCATTTCCACCTCTGTGAAAAGTCAATCTGGCCAAGTAGGTGTAGACATCACTCTTCTGGGACAGCAGAGCAGGGCTGAATGCTAGGAGATGGGCTGAGTCCTTGGGCTCCCAACCTTACCTCTCTGCAGCCTGTTTAATCTGTGAAAGGAGAAATGATATCCACCCCATGGACTTGTTTTGAGGATTGAGTGGATCAAGACAGGCAGAATACTTTTTTTTTTTGGTACCAGGGATCAAACTCGGGTCCTTGCACTTGCGAGGCAGGCGGCAGAACCACAGAGCTAAATCCCCAAATATTCCACATTGTATTTAAGAAATTCTGATGGTGGAGAAAATGAGCTAGTCACTGTCCCCAAAAGTGAAAGCAACAGGAGGGAAGGAAACTGGGCCTATGCCTTTCCCTGGTGTCAGCTATTTTCATTTCCCATAACTGATGTACCGTGTACTTGTTTTTCTTCCTTTTGTAGTTGCACAGCCTCACAGAGATTTTATTTTATTTTATTTATTTTTTATTTTTTTGATGTTTATTAAATGTTTTATTTAAAGATTTTTAACATGAAAAAGAAGGTACACAAATACACATTACATTATGATGACCAAGGCAGTATTCTACAAGACAAAAATCAAAACAAAACAAATTTATAAAGTAAATGTCCCGGCACTGAACAAGACGCTTGAAATTAATCCAGGCTTCATATGCATAAAATGATCTGACCACAGGTTTATGCAAAATAAATTATTTCCAAGAACACCAAAATGCCAACCATT